AGCACCTCCTTGCGTGCGCAGATCGACTGCTGTTCATCAGCAGTTCGAGTTCGTTCAGTGCGGAGTTTTAGGTTTTTTAAATTAAAATAAATGACCTCACGCCTTTCATTCTAAAGTAAAATTAAATGAAGAAAACAATCACCCATTCCTCCGGAAGAGGTTTTTTGTCAGGGTAACCATTTTAAAAAAGCATTGTTCCGAAATTTATTCAAAAACTTGCTAGTTTCACTTTGATTTTTTTAACACAAGTAAAGTAACTCTGTTCGCAAAGGGTGCGCTTTTGCGAAGAGGGCGCCACAGAAGTTTGAGGACACTTTTTTAAATTGGCTCAAAGAGAGGAGTGGCCCCTCTTGTTATGTAGACTTTTTGATGATGCCTAGTCTAAACAGACGGGACCCAGATTCTTAAATTTAAGCAGTTACTTACCAAAATGGAAACCTGTCCAATGCGGAAACGGAAAGGAAAATCCACTCCCTTCTGAGGGTTTTCCGTGTCTAAGATGGAAAATGCTTTGCCCATTCAGTCCTGATTTGAAACAAAACTCACAAGTTTGGTTCTGTCCGCTGGCTCTATACTATACATACTTTATGCTATGCTGCCTGGTGAGGAAGGGGAGTAGGGGTGAAATTTGAGGGAAGGTGTTACCCGATCTATGTGAGCCCTGAGCGATGAAGATGGTCTGGATGGTGTGGGTTTGAAATCTCACGAGTGCCAGTGAAAGTGCTCGAGTGGCAGTCCAGCATGGATACTTTCATTGGTAGCCAGAGGTCAGAGGTGTGAAATTAGTTTGACCAATGCCTGCTGCCCTGATCGTATGGCCAGCCGAGAAAAGAATTCCTCGAATCGTTGTTACCTGACAGAGAGAGGTGGCATTAGTTGACCGTGCTTATTTTTATTACACTGATGGGTGAGGCTACGGGTGGAAGCAAAGTAGGAGATGTTCAAACATTTGTTTTTAATAGGTCAAACAGTGGTCCTATGAAATGCAAGCACTAGTGGTAATTGGATCAATAGACCTACCCATGTCATTATCAGAAAGGATAGCAACTGAGAGGTGTGAAGTTTTAACCACTTAAATTGTGATTGGTTGCTGACCGGACAAGTGTCCTTTGACCTCCCCCCCCCACCCCCCATCTCCCCATCTCCCCATTGAATTCCCCTGTCTAAGATGGAATTTTATTCCTACTCCCTTGCGATTCCGTCTTATACAGGTTTGACTGTAATTGCATAAGAAATCTAGATTACATCTAGAGTCTAGTTTGCTGTAACTTTTTATATCCACAGCGAATTACAGCTGAACCTGTGTAAGAGGGAATCACAAGGGAGCCGGAATAAAATTCTGTCTTGGACATTTTTCATCTTAAACAGGGGAGTTTAGTGTGGAGATGGAAGACGTTGGGGGGGGGGGGGGGATTACAAAGGCCCTGCCTGAGATCCTAGGATCGCTTGTCCAGTCGGCAAACAATCACAAGTAAATTTACAAAACTTCACACCACTCAGCTGCTATCCTCTCTGATAATGAAGTACGTCTGCCTTTTTTATCCAATGACCTCGAGTGCTTGCATTTCATAGGACGACTGTTTGACCTATTGAAAACAGAAATGTTTGAACATCTCCTTTGCTTCCACCCTTAGCCCCACCCATCGGTGTAACAAGCGCAGTCAACCAATGCCACCCCTCACTACTGCGGCACACAGAATTTAGTGTAGAATTCTGTGCAGCCGTATAACAACGATTCAAGGAACTCTTTTTTTCGACTGGCTGTACGATCAGGGCGGCAGACATTAGTCAAACTAATTTCACACCTCTGGCCTCTGGCTACCAGTCAGTGAAAGTTTCCAGGCTGGAGCGCCACTCAAACACTTTCACTGGCACTCGTGAGATTTCACACCCACCCCACCCTGACCATCTTCATCACTCGGGGCTCACATGAATGGGGGTAACATCTACCCTCAAATTGCACTCGTACTCCCCTTCTTCGCCCGGCAGCATAGCGTTAAGTTTAGAGCCGGCGGACAAAACCAAACTGGTGAGTTTTTGCAAATCAGGGCTGAACGGCAAAACATTTTCCGTCTTAGACAAGTAAAACCCTCGGAAGGGAGTGGATTTTTCTTTCCTTTTCCGCTTTGGATAGGTTTCCGTTTTATACGGGTAATTAAAGAGAATAATATCAAATGGGGAGCAGGGAGATTCCGTTACAACAGGTTTCCGTTAAGGCAGGTTCGACTGTACTAGATATGATGTGAATGTGGATGATTTTTTATAGACCACCAATATTCTCACCCCTGGTGAGAATAACTCATGACCCGCTATTCTCATCCCCCACCCCACCCCCCTATAGTTTCATCCCATGTTTTGTTCACATATGGAATTCAGATAGGCCTAATGGGAGGACTTCCTTAACGAGCGCAACCACTATTAGACAGAGTAGAGTAGTAATTGAATAGAGGGCTAGGGGTAGGGGCACAGTTAGGAAGGTTAAGGTTAGGTCTCTTCTTCATTGTGTTTGTTGGGGTGGTCGCTTGTTAAGGAAGTCCTTCCGGCCTAAAGGTAATAATATGGGTAATAACCTCTGCAGGGCATTAGGCCAAAACCAAACTGGAACTGGAAAGAAGAAATATTATGTCCTGTAACCATCTAAGTAATTAGTTAAAAATTAATTTAACCCATTGCACCCGCATTACGAGTATACTCGTAGCTGCCGCGCACTTCCATCCACCAAGCTACGAGAATAGTCGTATCAAAGTACCAGTCCACAAAATCGATTCCGAACCACTTTTCCAGGTTTCTATTATTACTATTAAAAATAATGTAAAGCGAGCACTGAAATCTTCATGGACGAGAAGAGAAAAAAAACAACCGCAAAAAAGAACTGTGGCACGGCTATATTTGTGTTTGTCGAAATACATGAACCATGTTTTTAGTTTTGTTTTAGGCATAAGCGGCAAAGAAAGTGAAAGTAGGTGTAAATGTAGGAAAACAAGACGATCGGTTTGATTTTAGTCCCTTGAAAACTTTGAAAAAAGCTAGATTTACTTTAAGCTGTCGATGAGTCGCAATCGGACTAGTATTGTTTTCTCTGCCCTTTCCTTCCTCTTTCTCTCTAATAATATGAAAAGCACATTTTAAGTGAAATTTAAGTGAAATTTCATGTCTCACGACGCAGTGGAATCAGGCTCTCGTCAATTTTTGGACATGTAGAGCTATATTTGGTATCATCTTAAAGCTTGTTCATTTGTCTTGCTTTGGATGAAAAAATAAATTGTTTTATAGAAGTCGAGATATTTGCAAATGAAGGAGATGGGAGTCACCTGGTTTCAGAGGTAAAATTAATGAGAAAATGGAGGCCAAAGATGAGTTATTTCCTTAGATTGAGAGTTCGTGGAAATTGAAAATGTATATGTTTTGTGCCTTTAATCAACGTTTTTCAGTAAAATCCACACTGAAATGTTTTTTTAATGGACATGAAAGGTGTTGAGCCAAAAAACGAAAACTTGATAAAAATTTCACAAACCTCAGAAAAAATGCTTGTTTCTTCACTTTGATTATATTGACGAGCACCTGATTTCAACACGCCTCACATATTGATAGCTTAGATAGTTTGGGCAAACGGTGTCTATGGTTAGTTTGTCAAGTTCAGACTGATTTTTCCCCCTGGCTCGCGGCAAGCCAGGTGGACACAAGCACACTGCCCGCGGCAACATAGGGTGAATTGGGTTAATATTATATATACAGGGCCAGGGATCAACAAACTTTTTTCAAGGTCGGCTGAATAACTGATAGATGCAGAGTGCGGGCCAGGTAACTATGATACCGTTATTATGATGAGTCCCTAGTTAGTTGCCAGCCTGTGATGAATAATGAGGGGATCTCCATATTTGTGGTTGGAGAAATGTTTTAAATGAAAGTTTTGTCATAAACTGAGCAAGAATGTGTTATTTAATAAAAGTCAAGCTAGAAGTTGTGAAATTAATTCATGCAATTTTATGTGCAGTGTGGAGTTTAACTCATCTCCGAGGGGGGTAAACCCACTACTATGCGGGGACCCTGTTTTGGTAATAAATTTAAATCTAAAAATGACAAAAACGTCATTTAACGGGTCATTAAATCAAAACAAGTGAACCTATTTTGATAGTTCTTCATCTAATGAATGAACTCCCAGTAAAAGAGACCTGTTTTCAACAATTGCTGAAAAGTAATTTAATGTCGAAGTCGTCATAAATGAATGTGCCCAGGCCGCTGGCAGCGGCTCATCAGCACAGGGGTTCCGACCGCAAGCAGCTGGGAGCGGCTTGCTGGAGATTAAGAGATAATGAAATAATTGAATTATTCCTCAGTGCGCTTCTAACTTATCGTCCTCGTTAGTTTTGTTTCCCCCGCATAGGCACTGGCCTATATTTTTATACTAAAAGATAGATGTTGTGTCCACAGGATCTGAAGTGTATGGACAAAATGTGTAGGGTGTAGACTGACTGAGGGAAAGCTGACAAATTGGAATTTCTATTCTTGTTTAGGGTCTATCATTTTCGACTATCTATATAGGCCTATAATATACAATAAAAATGACAGTATCTCTGTGAAACATAATTGCCATTTTATGTTCTAAATATTTGACTTTTCAATGAGTTCAGTTTTAAACCATATTTTCACACACCTGTATGACTTCTTTTCAGTTAATATCTTGCCTTGTTGCCTCCTGGCACGGGTTTAGCTAAGCCATGAAGGTGGTGTTGATGGTGGCTGAGAAGCCATCTTTGGCTCAGTCCTTGGCCAAGATCCTTTCCAATGGCAACATGACATCAAGGAAAGGCTCCAACGGGGCTTGCTCTATTCACGACTACAATGGTCGGTTCAATGGTGAGCCGGCTCACTTCAAAATGACGTCAGTTTGCGGCCACGTCTTGGGGGTGGATTTTCCTGGAAAATTCAACAACTGGGATAAAGTGGATCCTGTAAGTTTTGCTACACTGTGTTGTTTGTCGTCTTGTTGCATTTTCTTTTCGTCTGAAATTAAATTACATTGTTTACTGTAAAATTCATTTTGGTCTTATGGTTTGCAGTGTTTTATTTCATGTCACAGATCACATATGCCATGGCATGAGTTTGGGATGAAGAAAAAAAGAGAAATATGGACAATCTCTTTGATAATCACTTAATACCTTGAAACGAAAAACCAGAAATAAAGAAGGGAAACAAAAAAAAAGTAGATCCAACAAGTGGTAGGCTACTAGAGGGCGCTGTATAAACTTTTTTCAGGCTTAGATGATTTTCTTTTTGCGTTTTGAATGATATGCTATTGTCACCAAACCTATTTAAATGAAAGAATCTGTTAGGGGAAAACAAAGCTCAAAGAACTATCCTTGTCTAGACTCTCTTCTCTTTTAATAGGCTCCTACTAATTAATATTTCTGTTTTCTTTTTAGGTTGAACTGTTCACAGCTCCGATTCAGAAAAAGGAAGCAAATCCGAATCTACACATGCCTGCTTTTCTTCGTAAAGAGGTGGGCACATATTTCCTTGATTGATTTTGGTTGTGTGTTTTCCAGAGTGTTTTGAAGAAAAAAGTATTTGATTTGAACAATACAAACTTACCCCTGCAAAGAAAAGTAATTCAAATGATAATAGATTGCATTTATGTAGCGCTTTATCCCATGCGAGTATAAGCTCTGAACGCTTTGCATCAATCACATGATCGCTGATCACAATACTTCATTCATGCAAGATTAAGTATTTCACAGTAACAAGAAAAACCAGTTCAATCATATAAAGAAGAACTGTCACTACCATACATTAATTATATAATACACAAGTATCTGGATGTCCTGTCTTGTCTGTTAATATAATCATTATTATAATCAACCCAGCTCCTCTTGAACAATGAAATAGTATGTGCTCAAAGACAGTGGTTTCACAAAGTCAATTTATTTGCATGATAGTTTCATGCACCTTTTTTATGCAAGTTGTATTGATCATTTATAGTCATGGAAGAGAGAGGTATTTTAGAGTAATGAATATAGACTGAGAATTTGTGTACACTGTTCTCTTCTGTACTTATCAGAGGAGAGTATTCTTTCTTTGTGCACTTAGATAATGAGGAATGTGGTTCCAATAGTTTTTCTTCTTTCTCTGTTGTTTTGGACCTTCCCCTGCCAGCCAACATTGCTGACTTGATGCTGAACTTGAGTACTATTGAAAGTTCAAGACTTATCTGATCTCTCAGTGAATTCTGAGTTTTCTCTTTTGACCTGAAACATTTCCTCTCCAGCACCTGATGTGTTGTTAAGGAACCAAGTACTTCACTTATAGAATAAACTGCAGTATGTCTTGCAGGGCGTTCAGTTTATTGCAAAAACTAAAACAAATTCTTTCTCTCAGGCTACGAATGTGGATTACCTGGTGCTGTGGCTTGATTGTGACAAGGAAGGGGAAAATATTTGCTTTGAGGTCATTGACTCTGTACGAGGTGCCATGAATCGTGTTTCTGGACAGGTACTCTTGCTAACTCTTTGTCTTTATGTGGTGAATGTTCTCCTTATTGTTTACTTTTGTTTTTTGTTCAAATATTCTGTATCAAATTAGTAGGCCTACTTTAATTTTCATGCATGCTTTATAAAGATTATCATTTTTGTTCTAATATTCTTTGTTGAAGGGTTATTTTGAGACAAATTGTAATATACTGACGGTCATTAAAAACGCACCACTTACAAAACAATTCAAATAATGGTGATGTGTTTGGTTTTTTTTTACAGAATATATACCATTGCATTCCATGGTCATTGTGTGAACATTCACAGCTGAAATGAAATGAAAAGCTAAAATGGCACCGCAAGCACAAAAGCATGAAGTAACAAAAGTCCTGTTTAAAAAATCAGAGCAGTAAATTGAGTTTTTAACACTTGCTTTAGTATTGTGTATGTTCTCCATTGGCCTGAATACAGGATTGGCAGCGTCTTCCCAAGGAATTCACAAGAGTCTGAATGAACACCTGTGGAATCTGTACCCACTCATTTGTCAAAGAACGCCTCAGCTCTTGGAGATTGTATACAGGTTTTCCACAGGACAAACGGCGGCCAGACGGTGGCCAAACTTGTCCCGCACATGCTCAATTGGTGCCATGTCAGCAGACAGTGATGGCCAAGGCAGGACATCGATGTTGTTTGCCTACAGAAAAGCAGTGGTGGCTCAAGCGGTGTGCGGGTGGGTGTTGTCGTGTTGGAATAACTGCAGCTCTAGGTGTTGACCAAATAACGGCACGACGTGGTTCTGTAGAACTGGTATGTGTACGTGTTGGCATTCACAGGCTGGTCGAAGAAGTACAGTGGTGTGCCATAAAATTGTTGCTGAACGCTCCCAATACCATGACGCTTCCTCCTCCCCATCTATCGACCTCCAGCATGCAACAGTTAGCGTAGCGCTCACCGGGGCGTCTCCAGACCCTTCTTCTCCCGTCAGCATGTCAGAAAAGACTACAGTCCTCCACTGGCGTCCTGTCAACTGTAAATACTTCCTGGCCCACTGCAAACGTTGACGGTGCCTCTGTGTCAGGACAGGACCAACATACGGGCGTCTGGCTGCAAGTCCTGCTTCCAGCAAACGGCGCCGCACGGTCCATTCAGATACTGGTCCACGCCGACCAACCACTTGACGACCATTTTGCGGTGCTGGCATGAAACTGTCACAAAGGTGATGTTGGCGAATGTAACGGTCTTGCGCTGGTGCTGAAACTCGTTGTTGGCCTCTCCGTCGCCGATCTGCTGTAGATCCAGTAGCTGGATTTCCTTGAGACAACCGGATAACAGTCGAGCGGCTACAGTTCATGTGCCTGGCAACTTGCCGTGCTGCTATTCCGGTTTGGGGCTTTGATTTTGCATGGAAAGTCGTGGCATTATTTACGAAAAAAATCCGTCACACAGAGTAAAGAATGTCAGTTTCTGTTATGGGCGAATATAATCTCTCCCTAACAGCCAAAATATCTGTCTCGCAAAACAAAGTTTAAGCTTGAGGTCGACACATTGGATTTTTGCATGTTGCACGTGGGCATTGACAGTTTTGAACGGGGAACTTCAAATTTTGTGATTGGTAACCTCTGTTGCCTGTGAACTTTTGTCAATCTCAATTGATGTCTCTGGATAAATTTTCGTGCAAAATGTGCTCAATCCAAAATGGTGCATTTTTAATGACCATCAGTATGAAAAGCAAAAATAGTTTGCTTTTTGTCTTCTTTATGAAGAGCTTACGGTCAATTTGTTCTCTAAGTTCTGTTATTATGTATTGTTACAAATTGTTGCTTTAGGTTTTAGTGAATTTATGTTTGGGCTATTTTTCACAAAACATTTGTTTGGTATGGGTGGTTCTTCTTGTTATGGTTTTAACATCCCTTCAACACTGTAAGGTGGAACCTCCAAAGTTAATGTTTATCTGCAACAAGACCAAGGAAAATGGATGGAAACCCTTGAAAAAAAAGTAGAACGACTCAAGTTCAAGAATGTCCTAGTGGGATTCAAACTTGGGCCATCCATTCTATGGTCCAGCATGGTACGAACTGAGCACGAGCTGCACGAACGAGTTCTGTTCCCAGTTTGTCATGAATTAACAGCCATGTATATAAATCTTTTTATCCTTAAATTACCTATCTCATACTGAGGATATAAAATGCTGAACAGTCTTACCCCAACCACTGTATTGATGATTGTTTAAATTCCTTATTTATCTGAACAGAGAGAGAACTAGATTGGTATCATGTCCAATTGCTTTTTTCTTTAACCAAAATGTCTCTCCTCTCAATGGTCTCTTTCTCACAGCAAATCTACAGAGCCCGATTCAGCGCCATCACAGACACTGACATCAAGCATGCGATGAACAACCTGGTCAGCCCGAACAAAAACGAGGCTCTCTCTGTCGATGCACGACAGGAGCTGGATTTGAGAATTGGCTGTGCCTTCACCCGCTACCAGACTCGCTTTTTCCAGGTAAAAGACCTTGTTCAGGGGGAGGAACTCCTAAGCAATAGTTGTGCTTTATTGGTGGATATTTATATTTTTAGACCTGCCAGGGTCAGTGTTTTACATGAAGTATTTGTAAAAATGAACGTGTGTTCAAGTTTTTGCATTAAGTCTTGTCCTGCGTCTGGGCTGAGATGCGAATCTTATCCGTAACCTATTGCATCTGACTTTTCCGGCGGGTCGTCGGGGTCACTCAGCATGTACTGTTAGTGTACAGCAAGCGGCACTAGAAACGTGTGTTTTCGCTGTGAATACCGAGGGGGTGTGTTAATCGACAATGAGCTACCAACTTGGCGTGTTTGAATGAGACATTTGCCTCAGTTACAAACCAACGCGGACGGTTCTTGAAGTAGGCCACAAACGCACACAAACTCAAGCAGACTGATGCACTCACACTGGAGCTGTGGGACAACAGGACCTGATCATCACGCGGACGATGCTCAGCACACGTGCGCTGAGCCAGGGCCTGACAGACACGGGACCGGACGAAAGGCGAGGTGCCAAAATACAATTATCGGGGAATATAAACCCAGCACCCGCAGGAGCAGGGTTAAAAACTGTTTCCTGTATTTCTTGTTTACTGTGGATTACGTTGATAATTATTGTTAGAGAAAAGTGTTAGTTCATGACGGATTGTTTGAAGACTTATCTGTTTCCTATTTGCTGAAACATTTTCCTGTCTGTCTGTCTGTCTGTCTGTCTGTCTGTCTGTCTCTCTCTCTCTCTCTCTCTCTCTCTCTCTCTCTCCCCCCCCTCTCCCTCTCCCTCTTCCTTTTCCTCTCCCTCTCCCACTCCCACTCTCCGTCTCCCCCTCTGTAGATTACAATGCTGCTGCTCATGTGATTAAAGGTTTTCAAGGTTCCTTTCCTTCGTACTTTTTTCAGGGTAAATATGGAGATTTGGACAGTACTCTGATTTCTTATGGCCCCTGCCAAACTCCAACTCTGGGGTTCTGTGTGGAACGTCATGACAAAATACAGTCCTTTAAACCCGAGGCCTACTGGGTCATTCAAGTACAGGTATGGAGAGTGGCTAATTGAGAAGTTATGTTGCAGATGACAGGTGGAGGGGGAGGGGGGGAGTTTGCAATCTTTTGGGGGTTTGTTTTAGTAGTTTGTTTTCTTTGGAGGATTTTTTTGTGTTTTTGTTAAAACTTTTCTTGTCTGGTACTTACGGTAGAGAGACCCTGTGGTTGGTTGGCTAGTGGACACAGGTTGCCTAAGGCCAAGATGGGGATGGTTTTTAGATGAGTGACCACAGCACCGTGTCCATGTATTACACTCAGCCTTGAAGATAGTAGTATCGGGCTGAAAGTTGTAATGACTTGCAGGTGTTAGAAGTATTTTTTGTTATTTCAAGTAAGCTGTATTGTACCAGGCATTTTCAAAGTAATTGCGGTCTATGGGAATAAGTATAGTTTTATTTACTTCCTCTTTATTACTTTTCTTTCTCCTTTTGCCATAAGGTCGTAATGTCTTGTTAACACATTTCTCCCCATATATATAGGGATTTTCCCTTTTGAAGTTTTATTACCTTTGATAAAAAGAATTACGTTTTATCACATTTTTTTTTTGTCTTTCAATCTTTCATTTTACTGCACAGTCAATCTCTCAATAACAAATGGTTACATCGAAAGACAGACATTTCCTCTAAACAAGAGTAAAAATGATTGAAAAGTTATCGTATTCGGGGGTGTTTTTCTGCCACGTCTATTTTTTGCTTGAAAATTCCAAAAATTTACTTCTGCAGTGGAAATCATTCCTGGCAAATTTGTGAATTTACCGAATACAAAAAAGGGGTAAAAATAAAGCATAAGTCTATGACTCCGCTCCCCCTTCCTCATCCAAGTGCCCAACCTACTGTGTAGCATCTGGTATCGCATAGTGGGGTTGCAGCAACATCTTTTTAGAGCAAGAAACAGTATGGTGTGGTCGTTATCACACATGAAGACATAGGGGTTGTACTTACTTTAACTGAAAAGGGTTAATAGATCCTCATTCCCTCCTCCCCTGCTGGAAAATAGGAACAAAGTGTTTTTGAAAGATTAAGAAATTGAACTTAATTTTTTTTTCCAATGAAATAGAACAAAGATTTTCCTTTCCCTTGAAATTTAAAACGTTTTGACTGGCTATAATAATAAATATGTTGCAGGTGACTCTACCCGATGGGAAAGCCTTACGTCTGGACTGGGACAGAGTGCGACTTTTTGACAAAGAGGTGGCACAGATGTTCGTGAATCGTATCAAAGGCGGTGATGGAGCACAGTAAGCTGACTTTGTTGTTTGTGGTTTTAACGATTGCATTGTTTCTGTGGTGACTGATTGGGTGTACAATGATAGACAGTACAGTGCCTCTGGACTTGATATTCTTTTTACCTTTAACCTCCAAACTGGCCCGCCTGGGAGAAAACACGCACGGAAACAGTGTTTACTACACAGACATTACTGATTATTTGAAGATCTTTCTGAAGTAGATGCTGGTAAGGATGAGGACTGCCCTGAGTGGGATATGGAATGTGATTCTGACGATGATATGTATGAATGAAGGCATGAATTACTCTGAGGAGCTCAGGCAAAGGGGCACAGTAGGCTCTGGAGGTCATGGCTCAAAGGGTTAATTTGATGAAATGTGAATCTCTGGTCCTTTTTTTTCTGGAATTTGGGGGGAAAATTTAAAAAATACTGGCAAACTCTTAAAAAGTTCTTGTACATCTTTTTGAATGATGGGCACATTACAGTTTATTTGTTTTGCGGACTATTCATCAAGTTTAAAGACACTTCTACTCTGAGGTGGAGTGGGTTGTTAAATACAGAGGTGCTGAAGTTCTGACTTGAAATCCTTAAGATTTTTGCTGACTTCAGGCTAATCAAATAAGTTGTTACACCTGATATAAAAACAGTCTTGGTATATATTTGAAAAAATGACCCATGAATTTTAAGTCTGTGTGGGAGTGTTTCCACCGTGTCCAAAAACTGTTGGGTTTGTTTGATAGTCAGTGGGAAGTATCATGTGGTCTGCTCCATCTACTTCTTTTCACAGTTACTTTTGTTGTGGTTCTGTTCGTGGTGAAATGTGACTGTTGTTGTGCAAGCAAATGTGTAAGGCCTTCTCCCTTGACCCCAAAATATCTGTCTCCAGCATGCAGACAAGTCGTTTCAGCTTGCCTTTCATAAGTTTTTAATTTCTTTGCCCATGGAGTGGTATAGCTTGTTCACTTTCGTCTGACAGCCTTGAAAACAAAGTAATAAAAATCACTCTGTTTAATCGTCTCTGATCTTTGCATACAGATGTAAAAGTTGGATGCTCTTCAGAATCTAAAATCCCATTCATTAAGGTCACTGCAGACTAAGGACCCAACACGTTTTCTTTGGTTTTAGCCTAAAGAGGGTCTAAACAATGATAGGGGATTTACAGCGTACACCTAAAACATCTGAAAGTTAACATATTTTCCTCAACACCACACTTTAATGTAGGCTTAGAAACATGATTCAAGGGATGCGGTGAGTACTTTTCGAGACTCGCTTGGAGTCGTCCCGACAGCTGGGGGATAAAATCTACAAGTTTACACGGAAATGTGGGACAAGGTGGTTTCACTTACTCAAAATGAGCAACTTGAAAGCTAGACTACTGTAAGTCATTTATTTTAGTGATCCTGTGTATGCATCCAAAGAGCAGTTTTTAATATAGGGCCTAAAACGAAAAACTTTTTTTTTGTTTGGTCGCTGGCTTGCAGAAGTACCATGCTAAGTTTCGTGGGCCTAGGTAAATTAATAAATGAGCTAGAATTTGTTTAATGTGGACAGACAAAAGTGAACGAGCTATAGCTATTTAAAGAGGCCTATTTCATTGACAGCTGTGCTTGTCCCTGTCTGTGTTATTTATTTTTGGTCTAAAGACTCAGTTATTTTTAAATCATATTTTACCTGCTAGTTTGATTCTTCTTCCTTCTAACAACATGACAGAGCATATATATGTATTTTAAACAATTCTTTTGCAATTACTGGGCCTGTATACATCGCTCATGTCATTTTGTAAGCTCTCAAGGTTTTATTTCACTGTGAAGCACCTAGGTTCACAATTAAATGGGCACAATTGAAGTGATCTTTATCGGGTTTTTTAATCATCTGACTCGAGGAACTGTTTGACTGATTGTCCAAAACTTTCTGTTTGTCTGTTATGTGCAGGGTCCTCGACACAGTACAGAAAAAAGGAGAGAAAGCCCGCCCCCTAGCTCTGAATACAGTGGAGATGTTACGAGTGGCTAGTTCAGGTCTAGGTAAGCCAATGAGAGCATGTTCGATATTAATTAGTAGATGTCAAGTGATCTAATTGTTATTAACAATTTGGAATTTTTTTTTTTACATAAAATATTGTGTTTTTCTTTAGAACCTGATTATGTGCATTGTCATAAGTCATATGTTCCAAAATCTGTTATTTCCTTTTTTTTTACTCCTTCATTCATGGTGTGATTTGGGGATATTGGGTATTTGAGGATTATTAAATATCTGAGGTGCAATTTAGAAAAGAAAAAGAAAATGGTAATATAAAAGAATAGGAGGGAATGAACCACAACATTGTTCCCACCCTCAGAACCACAATATCGTCCTTGTTATGTTCCCATCAAAATATGTCTAGTACTGTAGCATACTATTAGTCGTACACTGCAACCCTGCATCGACAGGTAGGGATTATAATTGATAATAAGAAATTATTTCTTATAATAAAGCATCTGACCCATTGTTAAAAAACTTGTTTAACTAGATCAATTTTGCAAAATTTTATCTTTCAGGAATGGGGCCACAGCATACTATGCAGATTGCAGAGCGACTTTACACACAGGGCTACATCAGCTACCCCAGGACTGAGACCAATTCCTACCCCGAGAATTTTGATCTCAAGTGGGTACCACATCATTTTTCTTATCAGTTGTTTTCCTATCTCTTTGATTGAGTGACTATTTATTTGTTTGTGTGTCTGATTGCGGGTACCTTACACTACATTTTTTTAAAATAATTTTTGAAGCATTTTTATATTTCATGACCTGCAACAACTGTGGAATATATTGTGTTGATATAATCTCACTCTCTCTCTTGCTCTTTTTCTCTTACTCTTTTTCTCTCTCTCTCTCTCTCTCTCTCTTTCTCTCGCTCTCCTTCTCTCCCTCCCTCTCTCTCTTCCTCTCTCTCTCTCTCTCTCTCTCTCTCTTGCTTGCTCTCCCTCTCTCTCTCTCTCTCTCTCTCTCTTCCTCTCTCTCTCTCTCTCTCCTTTGCTCTCTCTCTCTCCTTTGCTCTCTCTCTCTCCTTTGCTCTCTCTCTCTCTCCTTTGCTCTCTTTCTCTCCCTCTCTCTCCCTCTCTCTCTCTCTCTCTCTCTCACTCTCTCTCTCACTCTCTCTCTCTCTCTCCACCCCCCACCCCCCACTCTCTGATTTTGTCCTATAGCAAAGCACATGCTCCTGTTATTGTAGTGCTTTGTTCAAACACAAATGAAAGTATAAAATTGTCTTGATTACTTTACTGTCCTTTTTCTCTTCCAGAGGTACCCTGAAGCAGCAAGCATCTCATCCCAACTGGGGCTCCTATGTCAGGGAGCTGCTGCAAGCTGGGATTCAGAAGCCAAAGTAAGTGTTTTTCTTCACTTAAGAGTTATTGGCTTTTGTCTCCTTAAGATAGTGAGGGTAACTTTTTTAGTTCTTTCAACAATATTACTGTTCTTCTTGAGATTGATTTTTGAATGAAGTAAGACCGCTAGATATAAGATCGAATCGGTGCTTTACTGATCCTTCACTGGCTGCTGCAACTAGAAGCAATGTCTTTTCTGAAAAGTTTTGCTAGTCCAGATAGGATCTCTGTCAAATTGTGTCTCTTGAAAATAACTTTACAGGTTCAATATCTGTCCCGTATTAACCTTGTTTAAAATTTTTTAAGCTGTGGTTATCATAGAGACTAATAATTTTTAAAAATGATAAAATGATATTAATTGTGCTTTACATTTATTATTACCCCAGCAAACCCTAGACCATTAACTCACTGGAGACTGGGCCTTTTTCGGGTCTACATGCGCTGAAGACTGGCTTTTTGGGGTATACAATATTTCAAACAACACCCTTCCCAAAGACATACAACCACCATTTTTACGCACATAACAGATCTAAACATGCCTAACTTGCCACAAAAACAGAACGACAATATCTTTTATAGCTTTTTAGAAATGGTTTGGGGGGTTTTTTATGTGCTAAAAAAATTTTATCGCCAACATTTTTTGATGTAATGTCTTGTGTTTAAAAAAACCCAACAAAATCTCCCCAAAATTAACATTGTGTGTGTCTTTTATTGTGTTTTGTGTTTCAAAATGAAAAAAAAAGTCCAAACTCATGAATAGGCAGGTAGTTGATATGGTAATCCTTATGTATTAGCTGTCTAATCCACTTCAGTGTGAAAAAAACCCAGGGCTCCAGACAAAGCGGAATTTTGCATTGGAAAGCCTAGTCTAGATCTAGAACATTCTCTTTCAGAATCAGTGCTTTGATGCTCATTTACGTTGAAATCAGGATCCCCATGGTCTAACATATCGTAATTAATATTTTCTGAACTGTCAAAGTCGTCAAACACTTGAAAAATGTTTGCTTTTCGTGCTTCCAAGTGGGTGGTTGGCGGTTGCTCTGGAGTGATTTACTCCTTTTTTCCTATCAAACAACTCTCATCCTGATCTCTCCTCCTTCTTTTTTGTGTTTGTACTTCCTTGTAAGACCTAATCTTCGGCACTTATTTGACCTTATTGTGTTGCAAGTGCCGTAAAACTCTTACATAACCTAAATGTGCTGCCATCGTACTGATAAAGTGTTTCAAGAACAGTCACCAGTCAGAGAAACGAAAGTAGGGCCTCAGTGTAACTAACTTTCCTGCCGGGTCGATGACTCAAAATGTTTCCTGCCAATTCCGGTGAAACTTCGCACGAAACGAAACAACAGTCGGCTGCACGCTTACTTAATCGAGGAGAAAACGCAAAACTTCTGCTCGCAGGGGGTGTGTACGCCTCTCAGGAAAATATTGGTGCTCGCAAATGCTGCTTGAAACGTCTCCAGTGAGTTGAGAAACAATTTTGGCTTCCCAGAAAGCTTACTGTGCAAGCAGCCAATTAAGCCCTCAAACACTAACAAACTGACAATCCCTTTCACCGTCTTGAGCTGGTACCCATTCCCACCCACCAGGATAGAGTGAGGGAAGTTCATGTAAAGGGGCTTTCCGAGGGAAATAATATCAGGTCCCTGATGGGGTATGAATCCATGACCTTTCGGTTGCCATCCCAGCTCCTTTAACTCAAGAGCACCAATGCCACACATTAAGTTGTCTTTGAAACTATGGCTGGGTCATGTGTTCTTGTCTGTCACAGAAAGGGCCACGATGCCGGAGACCATCCTCCCATCACCCCGATGAAGTCGGCCACCGAGGGGGACTTTGACCACGACAGTTGGAGGCTCTACGACTACATCACCCGCCACTTTATCGGCACAGTAAGTTGCTGCCACCAAATGTAGCCTTGACATGGTGACCTTCCTCTTTACAAAGTATTTGACCCTTTGACCTTTTTTTTTTTGTAAAGCATTTAGCACTTCTTTTTGTAAAGCATTTAGCCCTTCGTTTTGTACTTCTTTTTTGTAAAGCTTTTGGCCCTTCGTTTTGTAAAGCATTTGGCCCTTCGTTTTGTAAAACATTTGGCCCTTCGTTTTGTAAAGCATTTAACCTGTTGACCTTTTGTTTTGTAGAGCATTTAACTTGTTAACCTATTTTTGTTGTAGAGCATGTAAACTGTTGACCTTTCTATTTTTGTCAAGTGTTTCACCAGTTGACCATGCTTTTAATAAGGCATATAACCTACTGACCTTCCTTTTTGTGAGTAAAGTGTTTGACCTGTCTGACCACCAGATCAGCCCAAACTGCACGTACATGCAGACCACAATCTACTTTGAGATTGGCTCAGAGAAGTTCTCGTGCACAGGCAAAGTCCTCCTGGACCCAGGCTTCACGGCCGTCATGCCATGGCAGCAGCTTGGGGAGGACGAGGAGATCCCCACCCTGAGACGGGACGAGAAACTCTCCGTGGACGAGGTCAGTGGCTATTTGTTTCCCTCTCTTTGATTTTGGCATATTTTCAGCTCATCTTTTCCGTGATCCAGACAATAATTATGATTTGATGTATAAATAACTTTTTCATCTATTATGATTTCTTTATATTTAACGCCTTCGTTGCCTTATGTTGTACCTGGTATGTCATGAAAATGCAGAATTTTTAATGCTGTGCCGTACCATGTACGTCACGGAAGTTGACAGTATTTGCCACTCTTGAATGCCTATATCAATATGACGTTACATGTACATCACGTAAATAACCTGGCTCTAATTCTTCTGTACGGAGTTTTAGCCACAAGCCCTGTGTAGATTCATATTTGGGAATGAAAGATGCGCATATAGGTACCGAATTTGCTAGTATTACTTTACTGCTAGGCTTGCAAGCAGTCAATAAACACAGATCTAGGCTTGCTGGCGGCCGCATGCTCTCATGAAACGTAAACATCGAAATGACTTTAAAAAGTCAAGTAAGTTCACTTTTTGACGTAGATTTGCAGGTTGTTCGAAATTATGAGTAAGATGAGAGGAAATGGGGAATGAGAAAAGTGACAATCGAAGACCCGGTGTCCGAAATATGTAGCGAGTGTGCTAGATCTAGATCTAGACAGCGCATCCATTAACACTGAGACACTAGGCTGCTGTCCTGAGAAACGAGCTCAGCTGAAAATCAGTGCTGACAGTAGGAGCACATACCCCCTGGCAACGAAAGAGTTAATGTATCATAGCTGGTACCAAAAAAATATGTGAGCACTTTTATACCCTCCCCTCTTTTTAGATTCTTGTAGTCCAATACAAAAAACATGTTACCGGAAAATGGAAGTGGTTGCTGTCTCATCAAGCACATTGCATGGTCTCTCGTGTTTCCTATTCTTTTCACCAACTGTTATCATCCACCTTTACCTTACCTCTCTCTTTACTTGTTGTCTTGGCAAGTTAAGCTGCAGTCCTTTAAGAGATGAAAGTTAAAACTCGTAGGTCCCACCTCTTATTTAACATTATAGTACAGTGTTGATAGAGGCGTTAAACCTATACCATTTCACCAGGTTAAGCTGGTGGAGAAGCAGACGAGTCCTCCCGACTACCTGACGGAGAGTGAGCTTATCTCGCTGATGGAGAAGCACGGAATCGGGACAGATGCCAGTATCCCTGTACACATCAACAACATCTGCGAGCGCAACTACGTGAACATCATTGCTGGGCGCAAGCTCAAACCCACGCCTCTGGGCATTGTGCTGGTGCATGGCTATCAGAAGGTTAGGGGAAGTTTTTTGCACCTTTTCTTTATTTCTTTCTGTTGGCCTCTTTTCTTCTTTTTCCTTTTTTTTCTTTCTCTTCTTTTTCTACCTTCTTATTCTTTCCTTTAAGATTCTACCACACCACTTTTTCTGCTTGCTTTTTCTTTTTTTCCTTCTTTTCTCCTCATACTTTTTCTACTACTTCATTTTTTTTTTTCTCTGTCGACTTTTTCTTTCTTCCTTGCCATAGAGTGTTACATGTCAGTGATTTACATTACTTCAGGTTTTTTAGCTTTTATATAGGCCTATATAGGAAAGATCAGAGTTTTCTGTTAACGGCACATGCTATATATTGCCCTACTAGACAATAGTGTCCATCAGCTTTAAGGCATCGGGTACAGTTGTGAAAGGTCTTGTTTTGTCTCTGTGCAGAGGTTTTTTTCAGCTAGGAAGGAGATAAATTTCACCTTTCAGCAGCCATATTGTTTTTTGTACTGTTATTGTATTCATACAACCTCACTGATATATATTCTATCATCTTTGTCAAAGAAGAAGTGCTTGATCCAAAATTCTTTGAGCAGGCTGACAGCTCAGTTGATATTATGCTCAACTGCATTGCAGATGACTCTGGCTCTTAGCCCCAAAAGGACAGTTCTTGGACTTTGGTTCTTTGAAAGAGTTTTCAAAGCTCCACCCTCTTAGTAGGTACCTCAAACTGAAATTTCAAAGTCCTCTGATTTCATATTTAACTGCACTACCTTATAGAATTTATCATTCTGAGCATTTTGATACCAAATTTATATATATAGCTTCATTTTTAACAAAGTTATAAACATCTGAAGTTGCAGAAAGATGTTACAGTTTTTTAATTGCGAAATGTCTACACTTTGAGATGTCACAACATTCTTAAATTTGAATGGACATTCACAAAAACTTGTAGACACACACCTATGCACATAGAGAACAAGCTCAATTTTTTTCAGGGCTATCAAATAACCAGAAGATGGAAATTTATTGACATAAACATGGCTTTTTGACCAAAACGGCAAGAAATACAAGGGGAGGTTAAAATCACCACTCGCGACCGCCAACTTATCGGCTGCACGCCGGGCCGCGCTGAAGGGAAGGAGAGAGAATTTATACGAAACCGGGGCGATGGTGCCCTGCTTGCGAGCCGACAGGGAGTGTCCGGTGTTTATTTGCGTATAATGGCTGTGTTATTCTTGAAGAGGAATGAATGGGCTTTCTGCCGATATATTTTCGTAATCAGTCCGATCACTGGTTCCATAAAAAAACAGCACCGAAAGTTTTCACACGCAAATCTCTTCTATTAATTCTTTAAGGACAGTATTTAGAAATATATCACCGGAAAGAGCGTCTTCTCATCTTGAAATATCGACGAATCAGATTGCAGTATTTAATACCATACGCTCCCCGTTCCTGTTCTACTGGCCACTGCGGTGAAAACCTCGACAGTGTTGTCTTTTATCCCGCAAGATTTTGCTTTCAAAAGAATCGTTGATTCAAATAAATAATACCACTAAAAAGAGGAAAAGCTCCTCTTTCTTCTGATATATCAAGTGTCTGTGTGTATGCATGATCACACAGTGTTTTAAGAGGGTAAAAATATGGGTTTTGGTCTCCGTGACAGTGCGCCATGGGTGCGCACGGCCAGTTTGTGGCACCTACTCTTAGATCGGACCTGTATGAGTAACTATGAGGTGTACTTTATATTTTGCTTTTCTGATAGTCGTGGTGTAATGATTTTAAGAACTTCACCATGCATTCAAATGATGTGAGTTGAGATTCCATGTGGGAGAAATACTTCAACAAGTACGTCATCTTGTCTGTTTATAAGGAGGTATCTCTTCCAGTTCGGATTGGCTCTGACATATGGAGTTGAAGCAAAGGCACTTTTAAGTCACTGATCCCTGGCCAATACAGAAACGCAGCGGTCACTCCGTACTGGCCATTTTTATACTTTTTCAAAAAATTCTCAGGAATGTAAATATTAAGCTACCGGCTTAATTTCTGGCACAGATAAAGGTACATTCTCCTTTTTTACTTGAACTTTATTTTATTGTCTTTAAAACTTTTTCTTTCCTCAGATTTTGAAATGTACTCCAGGTTTTAATTTCAGGATATATATTTACTCACTGAATCTGACAGAAAATTATTGTTACACTCAAAATATGAGACCAGATCTAGAGATAACTTAATTGTTGTGAAACTGCCTCGCAAAGTTTTCAGACATCCTTAGAGGTGTTAATATTTGTTTATAGTAATAGGCTAAGTGAGTAGAAAAGATGTTGTGCCTCAAGTAAGTTGCCAAAATGATAGTAGTTTTAAATCTGAGCTTCTTGCGTATTTCAGAAATCTTCATTTCCAGTGAGGAAAATGATTGAACTAAAATATTTATTAAAATTTACCTTGCTTTATTAGATTATTGTCTTGAAAAAATTGCGAAATTCCAATCCTGTCTATGTTGGGGACCAAGGCTTTATTGTCTTGAAAAAACTGCGAAATCCCAATCCCGTCTATGTTGGGGACAAGGGCTCAGTGTGTTTTAATAATCAATCCTCATTTTTTTCTTTGTTTTTCCTTCCTTGTCCAGATTGATGTTGACCTGGTGTTGTCCACAATGCGATCAGCTGTGGAGCAGCAACTGACTCTCATTGCCCTGGGCCGTGCAGACTTCTACGAAGTGAAGCAACACGCCATCGATATCTTCCATCGCAAGTTCCGCTACTTTGTGGACTGCATCTCTGCCATGGATGAGCTGTTTGAGGTCACCTTCTCTTCCCTGGCAGACAGCGGGAGGCCTTTGTCTAGGTCAGAATAGTTTACTACTTACTTACTTTCTCCCTATACTGTCAGGTACATAAGGCGGAGAGCAGTCGACCCCACACCTGCCTGTCCCTGGCCACATTCTCCAATCTCGTCAGAATAGTTTGGGTGTCTCGATGTTTTACACAGAAACCTTGAAGTGGAGTTGGGTTGTTTGGTTGTTGTTTTTTTTCCTTATCAAGTTGAAGGGTGCAGGCTCATGGAGTGACTTATCGAGAACTAAAAATTATTAAGTGTTGTCAAACCTTCCTAATGGCAGTCTGTCCTAGACAATCAGTACAAACAACCACCTCCCATTCCCCCCCCCCCCCCAAGCTGCTGGATATTGGGGGATACGGAGATTAGGAAGGTGACACTTAAAGACTTAAAGAAGACTCAGGGTCCGAGTATGTCATGAGTGGGCCAGTACCAGACAGCGAGTCCACTGACACTAAGACCGGTTAGACTGCTGTCCTGGTTCATGAGCTCAGTTGAAAGTCAGTGCTGACAGTAGGACAGCTCACCCCCAAGCAATAAAGGGTTAAAAGCTATCTATATTTGTTGCTGTTCTGTTGAACTGACAAATTCTCTTTGGTTTATCAGGTTTTTAGTTCAGAGAGGTTTCTCAAGTGGAAGGAAAAAAACCTGGGTTTTTTTATTTTCATTCAGTTTACTGCTGTTTTCTGCTCAAATGTGTTTGGTGCAAACAGATTCTACTGTATATCTGTTGTTTATAGAATTGTCATTGTGTTTCCAGGTGTGGCAAGTGTAGGCGATACATGAAGTTTGTGCAGGCTAAACCATCACGTCTACACTGCTCCTCATGTGATGAGACCTTCTCTCTGCCCCAAAATGGCAACATCAAACTGTACAAAGAACTCAAGTGTCCTTTGGATGAGTTTGAGTTGGTGCTATGGACCACAGGAGCTAAGGGAAAGGTAATGGTATTACTTGTGTGTCTTTCGGCTATGATGCTATTTCTGAAAGATATCCTCACACCTCAAAAGTCTCACACCTCAAAAGTGATACAGCCTCTTCTAAGATCAACTTCAAAACCAGGAAACAGCTTGCAGAAGATTCACTTCCAATTTGAGGGGGAAGTAGGACAAGAACCAGTCCAAGGTGAAGGATTTGAAAGGCTAAAAAATATGGAATAGTATGCAGAAAGTGGGTCTGTTCTTTGCACACTTTTAATAAGCTGAGAGTGCATGCCATGTATTTTGTCCAACAGTGCACACATTCATTGAACCCTAGTATGCTGAACATAAACCTTTGTATTGAAATATCCCCCCCCCCCCCCTCCCCACACACACACACAAAAAAAAAGCCTGAAGAAACCGGTTTTATCCAGGTCAGAGGATTATCTTGAGAAAACTATTTTTGTACAGACACAGGGCTATACTGTGTATATTTCCTTGGCCAAATTGGAGGACTTTGCTGCCTCAGACCGTGAACCCATCAGCTGTGGTGTGAGAGAGTTCAAGCTTAGTTCTGGGTAAATCTGTTGACTACCACAGATTAGTATTCGCCCACCATTGTAACAGTATGCTGGTGAACTGCTTGAATTTCTGAGAGACCTGCTCACTGAGTGCTGGACCCGTTGCATTCCATAAATAATTATTTATTTGCACCAGGGTCAAAATGTGCTGAATATGAAGTATATGGAGAGAAGTTGCTAATAGGGTCAAAATTCATTTGAACAATCAAAATCCACTTTTTGTATAAAAGCAACAAAATAAAGTTGCTTTTTAATCGATCTCGTGTTGAAATCCAGGTCACAACAGTATGCATAATAACTTACAGTGGAACTCGGATTCAACAAACTCAGATTCAACTAAAGGAGAAGGTTCCCCGTTTGGTTTTTTCTTTAAAATCTTTTAAAATAACCCGGATTCAACGAACACTTAAATCAGCAAACTTGGATTGAACGAGGCCGCTTCCAGGGTGAACAGCCCCGGCAGACATGGGTTAGCTCATTTTTCTTCGGCAACGAACTTTATTCTCGGAAACCATCCATTGCACTTGCATCGTGAACCATTATTCACTTAGCCTGGCGACCTTGTTGAATCCGAGTTTGACTGTATACATAAAACTATTCAGAGGTCATATTAACATCGCACAATACTTTATCAAGTTACTAAAACATTCCCAACCACCACTGCTTGAATTTTGCATGTCATTATTTCCTATTAATTTGCTTGCTGAATGATGTCTAAGTGCACCAAATATATATCTAGATTTGTGTTGCTGAAACACAAAAGGGTCATAGTTTACCGTAATAAATAAAAGCTTCTTTTCATCCCCAGACATACCCCCTGTGCCCATACTGTTACAACAACCCGCCCTTCAACGACATGCGTAAAGGCATGGGCTGCAACGAGTGCACTCACCCGACCTGCTCGCACGCTTTCACGCGTAACGGCGTGTCGGAGTGTGTCGAGTGTGACAACGGTGTGCTGGTACTAGATCTGACCTCGGGGCCTAAGTGGAGGATGGCCTGTAACAAGTGAGAGATGCAGGCGTGCCGTGGCTTGTGTGTTTGTGTGTGTGTAGACCTGCAGTCAAGCACACATAGAGCGAAATGGACAGGACACAGAAACCTGTTCTTTATGTACAAATTTTGCCGTGTCAAATTTCAGGCAATATCATTGGAGATAAACCGAGTCAGATAATTGGGTCAAAATGTTACATGATCTATGCCACCAATGCAAGCGAACTGCATGTTGGGTTCATAGTTCGCATAGATTTGCTGACTTGGGTTCTAGACATTGACCAAAAGAACCATTGACCGAAAAACCTTTTCTCCTTTTTCCCTGACCAAGAAGCCTTTTATACTTCTGTCGCTCCACCATGGTCCGCCCCCAACTACAACTTCACGAGACCTTAGTTGGCAGAACGCTGGCAAGCTGTTGAGTAGCATGTATTTTCTGTTGAAGTGGAAGTATGTTGACACATTTGGCGACTATGCGAGATACATGTACGTGCCTTCACATGAACATTGATTCCTCACATGCAACTGAAGTGTGCAAGCTGGATCTACCTCTGAACATTTCTGTGACCTAATTAATGAACATCCTTGACTTAGGTCTACACTGTGGCTCATTTGTGAAAAATGTACTCTTTAGAGTCATGCTAATAGTAATCGCTCAATTGGTACCATGTTGGAGTATGGTGTAGCTGGCCCTGGTTCAATTCCCCAATGAGGCCAGGCTTTCTAGTACTTGGGTTTGTTGGGGAGTTTACAAGGTCCCTCAGCCGCTTAGCTCTGCCCAATCAAAGATGGACATTTAAATTTAAGTAAAACGTCCCTTTTTTAACATAACATTGCCACGTCTACTGAGGCATTAACTCACTGGAGACGGTTGATGCAGCATTTGCGAGCACCAATATTTCCCTGAGAGGCGGTTCACGCACCCCCTACAAGCACAAATTTCACGTTTTTTTCCCCGTCAAATCATGCGTGCAAATCGACCAGAAGGAAAGTTAGTTACACTTGAGGCCCTACTTTCGTTTCTCTGACATATCTGTTCTCGCAACACTTTGTCAGTACGATGGCAGCAACACAATAAGATCATATAAGTGCCGAAGATTAGGTGTTACAAGAGAGTAACAAACACACAAAAAACGAAGAGAGATCAGGATGTGAGTTATTTGATAGGAAAGAAGGAGCAAACCACACGAGAGCACCCACCAACCACCCACTTGGCAGCACGAAGAAGCAAACATTTTTCAAGTGTTAAACGATTTTGACAGTTCAGAAAATTCTGATTATGATACCTTAGACCATGGGGATCCTGATTTCAATGTAAATGAGCATCAAAGCACTGATTCTGATAGAGAGTGTTCTAGTTGTAGGCTAGGCTTTCAAATGCAAAATTCCGCTTTGTCCAGAGCCCTGTTTTTTTTTCCCCACTGAAGTGGATTAGACAGCTAATACATAAGGATTACCCTATTGATTACCTGCCTGTTCATGATTTTGGACTTTTTATTCATTTTGAAACACAATAAAAGACACACACAAGGTTAAATTGGGAGGAGGGGGGGTTGTTGGTTTGTTTTTTACCCAAGACATTACGTTTAAAAAAACTTGGCGAGCAACAAATTTTAGCACATTTTCAAATTATCATTTCTAAAAAACTGTAAAAGATATTGCCTTTCTGTTTTTTTGTGTCATATTGGGCATGATTAGATTTGTTGTGTAAAAATGGTACAGTGGAACTCGGATTTAACGAGCTCGGATTCAACGAGAACTCGGATTCAACGAGATGAGACAGATTCCCCGGTTTTTTTCTTCTTTAAAATCAATAAAAAAGTAACCCGGATTCAACGAGCACTTAAATCAGCGAGCTCGGATTCAACGAGGTCGCTTCCAGGGTGAACAGCCCCCGCAGACGTGACTTCGCTAATTTTTCTCCCAGAATGAACTTTATTCCCGGAAACCATCCATTGCACCTGCCTAGTGAACCATTATTCACTTACCCGATTGCATGCGACCAATCAGCGGCCTTTTTCATACCAACACATGCGTTGTTGGCACGCGAATGTGTCTACTCTGCCGTGTGTCGGGGTCGGATGGGCGGCCTGCACACGTGTGGCTGTGTGTGCGTGTCGGGGAAGGGAGAGGGGGGAGGGCACTAGCGGTCCGGGCGTTGAACATCGCAGATACAAACGCGTCAGTCTCTTTTTCCCCTCGGCAACTGATCATTGTTACAATAATGAATTGTGCGCTGTTCTTGGTAATCAAAAGTTGCCGCATGCTAGGCTCTACACTGCAACACAGCTTTTTGGTAAACAATTGAGATGACACAGGCGTGTGTATTTGAACGAATCGGTCTTTTTTTTTTACACAGCTCAAAGTACGCAGGCCTTTCAGGCACTACTTGTGACTTCCTCTTTATACATTACTTCTCAGTGCCTGTAATTATCTACACAAAACCTCGTGTTTGCTATAACGAACACTCGGATTCAACGAGATTTTAGGTCAGGCCTGACGACCTCGTTGAATCAGGGTTCCACTGTAGTTGTATTTCTTTGGGAAGGGTGTTGTTTGAAATCTTGAAATACCCCCAAAAATGCCTGTCTTCAGCCCATGTAAACCCAATGAAGGCCCAGTCTTCAGTGACTTAAAATAACTTTGTGTGATTGTTCTGAAAGTTTCTTATGGTACCGGTATGTCCAACACAAAACTGTTTCTCTCTATCTAATTTTTTTATCACATCTTGAAGTTATGGACTATAAAACACAACTTTCGTCATTTTGAAAGAGGAGCTCTTGTTCCTCCATCTGAACACCGGGCTATGATAACAATTAGGGGGTCGACCAGGAACTTCGGATTGTCAGTAGGTTTCAATTTAATGTTTTGATAAGTGTCAAGATTGTAAGATTGTAAGAAACTTAGCATTCTCGTGAGAGTAATGGAAGCAGAGTTTAATTTATTGGTCAATTGAGAAAATAAAAGAACTGCTACAATTTGGTTTCACTTTCCCAGGTGCAATGTGGTGATTCACTTCTTTGATGGTGCTACCAAAGTGGGCGTGAAGGAAGAGCCGTGTGAGGACTGTGGAGCCAATATAGTGGAAGTCGCTTTCAAGGTGAGTGGTTTCGACTGATAGAGAAATTGCGTCTTGGGTTTTTACCCTAAGAGGTTTTTTTTTCTTGAGTGTGAATACAGTAGTCCCCGCCTAAACTCATGGTGCTCAGGAGGGCCCTTAAGCTTGCATTTTTGTAACCTGTGCATAAGGGGTAAAGGATGCAACCATCTCATTTCCTTGATATTTAAGTGACCTCCCTGTGGGGGGGGTCGCTTTCGAGGATAATGCGGCGAAATGTGAGTGCTTTGTTAAGTCAGTAAAGGATTCCCCATTCCTGGTTATGACTACAAAGGCATTGAATCAGTAGTGGAAAAAAGCAGAAAGACCGACTCACTGTAACTGATGTGCATTAACATGTCGGGAACAGATGAGGAAACTGTTTGTAGTTAGTGATAGTCATACTAGTCATATGGGAAGAGCACTCAACCGTGGCGCTTTCCAAGCAACCACTCCCAACAACCTGTCAACTATTGCCACTGATGTTTGGATGACATCAGACATTTTGAGAGACTTTTCTTTTGTGTTTCATTGAACAAGTACATCATAAGTTCTTCAAGCGCCGCTGATCACTTACTTGACTAATCTATAATCGTATCTGGTGTTCTACAGCATTCACACGTGTTGCGCATTATACAGTTCAGTCCGTTAATAACAGCCTGTTATTACAGGAACTTGAATATGACAGTGATAAATCAAATCCTCGGGGTTTTTTCTGTATATAAGTATAAGTGGAAGTAATATGAACCTGGCTATAACAGGGTTCAATTTGCGCCGACTCAGATATAACAATGATCTTGCAGCACATGAACTTGCTTTAAATCTGTCAAATTATTAAAAGCTATCTCAACCAAGACATTTCACCTGTTTGTATTATCGCTTACCTAAACACATACCCCCCCTCCCCTGGGGTTACTGATCGATTCCGTCTCAGTGTCCGCGAAACAGCCCACTGGAAAAGGATCTGCGGTAATAGAATATAGTAAGCTGAAGGTGCAATGGTACTGGTAGTTTCCCTTGATAACGGTTATAACAGGACTCGCTTATTTATAACGGGAAAACTGTTGGTCCCGTCTGTCCTGTCCAAGTTTAACTGTATTCATTTTTATAGTAAGCCTAACTAAACATTACAGTAACAGTCACCCAAACACCAGTGAGAGTCCTCTCGCAAAGATGCTTTCAAGCGGCCAATAAAAAGACATTTCAGTCACCCCCCAAACATACCTTATCCTAGACCTTTGTGTCCATGGACAGTTCGGAGAGAAAACTCTGTCCATTACTCTGTTCTGTATGAAGGGCAGTCTCCCCATAATATATTCAATTGTCTAGACTTGTCTTATGCAAGCTGTCAAGCTATACCAGTCACCGTGTTCCACAGATCAAAGCGTGCGTTAAATAAGGGGAAATGACCATTTGTTTGTAAGTCTGAAGTATATTATCATTTTTTTAAAGCCTGTCATGTGACGAAGGCATGCATTTGAGCGAAGCATGCCTTGCTTAAATGCACGTCATACAAAGGTACAAAGGGCCTTTGTATGACGTGCATTTAAGCAGAGACTACTGTACTAAATACAATATATCACATTTTTTATGACTGCCTCTTGCAAGAATTCAGCTTTTTTCCATTCATTAGAATTTCACTTTTAACTGTGAATACTTGATAGAATTATGGGGTCTTGGGTTTTTTTTTCTTATCCTGTATATTTATGCCCCAAGACAGCAGTGACCTTATGGAGCTTAAATGGATCTGTAATTTGAATAATTTGACCCCCACGATGCTATAATTTATTGTCAAAGTGTGACATGTGACTCATTTCGTGACATCACTTCACAAAAGTTTAAAGAATCTATTGATTCATCCAAAGGCGCTCTGTTTGTCCAGTTGGTATCATTGTCATGCTTGTCAACGGAACAAATGGCCCTGGTTCAAATCCCTGTCGGAAACAACTCTTATAATTTCTAGTACATTGGAACTCGGATTCAACAAGAACTCGGATTCAGCGAGATGAGATAGATTCCCCGGTTTTTTTTCTTCTTTGAAATCAATAGAAATAACCCGGATTCAGCGAGCTCAGATTCAACTAGGTCACTTCCAGGGTAAACAGCCCCCGCTGACGTGGCTTCGCTCATTTTCTCCCAGAACGAACTTTATCTATTCACAGAAACCATCCATTGCACCTGCATAGTGAACCATTATTCACTTACCCGATTGCATGTGACCGATGATCAGCGGCCTTTTTTATACCAACATGTGCACATGTCTACTCTGGCGTGTGTCGGGGTCAGATGGGCGGCCTGTGCAGCAAGTGTGGCTGTGTGTGCTGGGG